ATATTTAATATATGTATCTTTACACGTTATACTAATATACCGAATTTTACTATATGGTCTAAATTTCAAACTTACCACTCGATTCGTAAAAGATTCACTAAATCATCAAATTAGTGATCAAGCAATTCAATGCATTAAACTCATAGCAAAACAATACACGTGTGATAAAATAACAAGAATCTTGAAATAAAAGAAATAAATGGTTCAAGTAGATTACATTGTTCACTCTAATATAAAATTTAGTTACTCATAATGATGGAAGAAGAAAAATAAGAAGTTGTTATTAATTAAATTACCGGATTTTGAATAAATATGTAGAAAAGGAAATTAATCTTGCTACTCTTCCAATCAATGTTTTAAAACTTGAGTTTTTTAATGTTTTTCTCCCTTCAATTACGCTCTTCACTCTCTAATTGTATTATTTTTTTTCCCCAATGTGTGGAACCTCCTAAAAGTGTCTCATTTCTTCTATTTATACTCCCTTACATGATTTTCCAAAATTTGGAGTCTTTCTGGGCTTTTAACATGCCGAAACAGTGTAACCATAAAACAAGCGGCGAATCGCCTACGCACTTGAAAGCAGTGCCTAGGCGCCGCGATGCAATTCTGTATAGCACCTAGGCGCTATGAGTGCAACGCCTAAGCGCTGAATCTCTATAAAAAAAAATTCATTACAGGCGCTTGAGCGCTTCTATCATGGTGCCTATACTCCATTTTGCTGATTCTTTTCCTTAACTTTTGGCTGTTTGTTCACTTTAGCATCCTTTTTACTCCACTTTCCCATACCTTTAAAACAATACTAGCAAGCACACAAAATATGTTCTATACTCATAATATTTAGCCAACAATTAAATTAAAATTGTATAAAGCTCATGAGTAAAAACACGCTCGTCACTCACCTAAACTGAAAGCTCTATGCCACGCTACCTTTCGCAACGCATTATGCTTTTTAGAAAACTGTTTACATGCGAATTGTCTTTCTTTTTTATGTTTTGAATTAGATGACTTTTTTTTTGTCTAAATTTCTTTATTTTCTCATTTATTTATTTTAATGATAAAAAAATGCCATAAAAATATTTAATCGACTCAATGATTTATAACAAATTAGATTAGGTTTTCATCGGATCGGATTGATCTACATCCATATTTGATTCATTTAGTTAACTGATTATCGGATTTGGGTCCTAATTGAGTTATTGGATTGAAACTATAAATCCATTTTCTATTAATTTCACCAGATTCAGATCAAAATCTAATCCATTGAAAGACCTAATCACAATAGATGACTGGAGGAGAACTACAAGAGTGGACTAGTTAATGAAGCATATTTGAACCCAATTTAGTTTAGAGGTAGTGGATGCTACTGACTTATATTCAATCTTTATCGATGATCGAGTGACCATTCATTATATTTTTGAACTCCAACCGATAGGAATGGCATCAAGAAACACAGTTTACCCAATTCTAGTTTATTCACTAGTAGAGAGAGGTGTTAGCACATCTTTTAGTACCATCCAAGTTGGTTTTGTGAAGAAGATCTTTAATTTATTTATCTTGTGATAAAAAAAAAAAGAAAAAGAAAAAAACACCTTCTTTAGTAGAGTTAGATTCAACACCAAGAGGATAACTCAAATCAGCTATAAAACATTTAGCTAGAAGTGATAATTGATTAACCAATGTAGAGACAAACTCATTAATGAAGCAATAAAAGTTACCACTTGTTGACATCAAAAAATGTTGCCAACAGATGCCGGGCCCACTCGTGCACAAGCGAGCATGATCCGGCACGCTAATGCCGATCAACGGTCAAGATGGCTCCAGAAATTGGGCGTGGGAATGGCTCAAAGGCACGAGACGTTTCCGTTCAGGCTTCCGGCAAGAAGTATGACACGATTGTATAAGAAACCAATCGATGAAGAATGATTTGTAGTAGAAAATATGCTGTAAGAATCACTGTTGAAACGAGAGAAATGTTGCTCCAAGTATTCAGTATTCTTTATATTTGGTATGAGAAGTTTCATCACCCTTTTTGAGTTACATGTTGGGGTATTTATAGTGTTACAAGTCGAATAATGACCTTTGGATCAATTTACACGTGGCTTCATCTCCTCGGCCAAGACATCAAATCCTAGCCACCAAGTTGACTCTCCTAACCCTACAAAACATTAAATGTTTTTACATTGACTAGACAAGACAGAGTTTACTTTATACAAAAGTCACGTCAATCATTCACACGGATCTTTCATCATTGCAATATCTTTCCATGTGGNCTCGGCCAAGACATCAAGTCCTAGCCATCAAGTTGACCCTCTAGCCCTACAAAGCATTAAATGTTCTTACATTGACAAGACAAGACATAGAGTTTACTTTATACAAAAGTCACGTCAATCATTCACACGGATCTTTCATCATTGCAATATCTTTCCATGTGGTCTTTTTCCACGCGAGGCTTGGGCCTGGGATGGCAGTGAAGGCATAGGAACTGTCTTGAGGGCCTCGGAACAATAACCGGGCCTCGGAACAATAGCGAGGGCCTCGGAATCCACGTCAGAGGCTAAGAGAACATATCCTGGCCTAAGTAAACTGGTCCTACCACTGAAATATGGTGCCATGTGTCACTTCTATGAACAGAAAAAACTCTTTCTTTTCGACAATCCCTCCAAAATGAAATGGCTATTTCACTTCCAGTTAAAGCAAAGAAATATAAATATAAACCACGAAATTTGTGAAAGATCATAATAAAATTGCAAGGTAGAAATGATTCATATACTGGACCCCAACTGCATCATTTACAATTTTATCTATTTCTTAAAACCAAAGCCAAACTCGACTGAGTGACCCAAATAACCCAATAAGCCTTTCAAATCCTAACCCAAACCATCATCTTTCACCAACTTGCAAAACATGACGTTAACCCACAACAACCAACATAACTGTAAGCCACACTACCTTCAACCCGTTGATTCTACTTCCATCGTAACTCCAAATCACTGCCATCTCCTTTCTTCGCTGCTATGTGCTCTCTACCCTCCACAATACCACAACCTTTATCCTCAAATAGCTGGGGACACCAGCTGCATCTACCTCTCATTTCGAGCATATTTATTTATCTCCATTTCTAGCTTTCAACCATAGTTTGATAATTAAAGATCAGTTGAAGCCTTTTCACCCACTCAACAAACCAAATTGCAATAGAACCGATTTGTAAATACATCCATCAAGAATAATATTTTTTCAAAAATGTACCTTTGGAGTTGGCAAAACACGACCATCAACCTGAGTGAGGTTCTTAGTTCCATGAGTAAACAGTCTATATCATCTATAAGAAGCACATTAAAATAGAGTATTCATCTACAAGATTATTGATCATAAGCAATACTAAGGAATAAGTATAAGAAATATTTATGAGGAGACAATCTTTTTGAGCTGTGGCCAATGATGCACCTCCTAATAAGAATAAGTTGACTACAAGTGTTGATTGCAACTTTCTTATCATGACATTGGTGCTTTCAGGACTCAGAGAGACATATATTGAGTCTACACATATATTAAAGGGCTTCCTCTGCCCCAATGAAAGGTAAATTAATCAATCAAGAAATATTTTTACAATACCTAAGCAGCTTTGAAATGTCCTAAAAATGTTTATATTCACCATTTTACGATTAACAAGTTTCTTATAGAATGTACATATTTGGGCTTCTAATACTTTAAGTTCACATAAACTCGCAACTTGGAACAATTCTTGTGCCTAAATCATGAAATGCGCTACAAATCGAGGTTTAAGCCTTCCCCGGGAATTACATCCTAAAGCAAAACTTGAGTTAGTAAACTGATATAACAAGACACGGATGTCGTTTTCTCGCGTAAAACAATAAACATTAAATTGATATACAAATGCACTAAAATCTCAATTGACTACATTATAATTTGATTTCTTGTCCCCTATTCGAAAAGTAGGACATAAAACGATTTGACTGCCATGAAGTAGAGAAGATCCATCTAAATCATAACCTTTAAAACATAAATCTCAGTGACCAAAGATTTTCAAAATGTTAATGGACTAATATTTAGTCCTTTTCCACCAATTCAACAAAAAAATAATTATGTTATTTATCTAGATACACGATCATCATGAATCTACGTGGCAATTAAATGACATTCATTGACTTGCCATCATAAATACAGGAATCATGAGTCTAGATAAGTAGCATTACTGAATTTTTTTAAAATCATTTTCATTAATTTAATTAAAGCCAAATGGCCAAAAAAAGTCTTCTTTTTATCCTGGAATGTGTATGGCTTGTGAATGCAAAGAACATTGGTGGAAGATAATAATGGAATGCATTTAACATTACCTTGCCAAACACCTGATACACATCAATCTTATTGGGTTTTTGGAGCAATGAATAAGTAATCAAGTCCTACAAAAAAGAAGAATGACAAAACATGCTTTAGAGCAATGACTTGTTTGCAATATAAAAAATCACAGAAAATTAGCAAAAACACTAATGAGAACTTAAGTTTTCTCTCCTAAGGAAAAAGAAAAATAGCTCTCAACAAAAGCAATATGCATAAAGATTAACATATATAAAAAGACCAAATTATTTAAGACATTTCTTTCTTCCTTTATCTACTCACATCCATATTCTTTATTTCAAAACAAGCATTAATTACTAATTTTATTCAAATAAAACTTTTGAGTTTTACTTGTACAATTAATTTCTGTAGGCTTAGCCAACCATCTAAAATAGGAAAAAAGAGCAATTGGTTATTCAATAATTCACATATCTTGTTAAGCACATATTTGTACATTCACAAATCAATTAAATGCCCATAAATTTTTTTCCATAATGCTCAGCCTAGAACAAATTCGAGTTCCCCTGAAATGCACTAACAATATCATCACTATCAATTTCTGGCAAAACCCACTCCTTTTACGACTATACCGTAGACCCACAAGGCCACATAGTCTTCCCAACACACGAATCAAAGAGTTACCTTCAATAATGCCCATGCAATTTCTTCAAAGCCTCCATATCATGCTGCATGTCGAGAAGCCCACTGGACCAACTGTGGTGGACAATCTCATCAAGAAAGTAAGACTCCATAGAAATCGAGGTTTCAAGATCTAAGATTTTTGAGGAGTTAGGTACTATTTTCTCCTGTGGTTGAGAGAGGAGAGAGTGTGAGAGAATGAGCAAGCTACAATTTTCTTTAGTGGAGGAGAGAGGTGAGCGTGCTTCATTTGGCCTTGATATAACCTACCATAGAAAAACTAGTTTAATGTACGCACAGCTCCGCACAACGCAGAGTGTTCACTCCGTGCTGTGCGGAGTGTTTTTTTTATTTTGTTATTATATTTTTTGCAACCGTGCTGTGCAGATGTAGAAAAACTAGTTTAATGTATGCATAGCTTCGCACAACGCACAGCTCCGCACAACATGGAGGTTCACTCCGCGCTATGCAGATAGTATTTTGTTTTTTACAGTACTAACAATAATCTACGAAATCATTTTTATCTTGTATATTTTAAAAGTGTACAATACATTTAAAAATAACATTAACCAAATTTTACCCTTAAAGCTTGGATGAATAGTGAAGAATGAATATGGATAAAATGGAATTAAAAAAATAGTTTTATAAATGAACAGTAAACGGTAGATTATCTCTTTTAAGATAGTAGGGATAGGACTTTAATTGGAAAAGAAATTTAATTAATTTTTTCAATAATTCATCAAATTAAAAACTCATGGATATAATATTTATTAATTTTTTTAATATTTCATCTAAATATTGTGTCATCTTCATAATTGTGGAGCCTGCCTCAAGGCCGGCTATATAAATTACCACAATGAAATATGAATAAGTTAACGAGCCCAGAGTCAAGTAGGACTCCTCGCAACTCATTGTACCCTGCCCTTGGAGCCTAACGTAAATCATTCATTGCTTTTCTCCATAGTAGGGATTTTGTATGTCAATGATACCTTGTCGTTGTTCCATGAAAACCTCATTCAAGTGGTCCTTAAATGAATGTATTATTAATGTGAAGTTGATGTATATGCCAACAGTAATGAGAATTAAAAGAACAGTTGTGGGCCTTACAATTGGGCTAAAGGAGTCACGTGAGTCTATACCATGATGTTAACTAAAACGTCAAATTACATGACTACAAATATTTCAAAGTGGAAATTATACAAAACCATACTTTAAGTATTCAACCTTCTAAAATCAGATTGGAAGTTTGATATTTCCAAAATCAGATGTTTTTGCTAATTAATATATTATTATTAGATAAAATATATTATTAAATTAAACCAAACCCTATCTCCCTTTACCCATCCCTCATTTCCCCCCAAACCCATCTCTCTCTAACTTTCCTCTCGCCGCTATTGTCCCGTCTCTCTCTAACTCTCCTCCTGCCGTAGTTCTGTGCCACTTTCCCGTCTCTCTCTTCGCCGTACTTCATGTCATCGTCGCTCTCTCGTCTATCTCTTTGCCGCACGTGACGTCGTCGGAAATCTAGTTGCGACGACTGGTCTATCGAAATCTGAGCGTCATTGATCTGCATTGTGGTGGCTGGTGATGGAGGCCAGTCTTCGACGGCTGCTGCTTCACCAACGAAGCATAAATCTCCAGCTCCAATGGTGGCTCCTACTTCAACTCCTCCGGCTTCAGTTCCTGTAAGTTTACCACCGACAGTTTCCACTCTGCTTCCTGTAAGTTCTCCACCGACAGTTTCCACGCCGGCTCCAGTGAGCTCACCTCCAGCTCCCAAGCAGTCAACTCACCACCGCTGGCTGCTCCAGTCCAGTCTCTAATATCTCCAACTCCCGAAGCGGCCACACCACCATTGAATCTTCTCCACCAGCTCTGGCTTTTGCACCCTCGAGTGAAACTGTCATGTTTGTGATTTTTGGTGCGATGTGGGTGGTGGGCCAGTGAGGCATTGTGGTTGTGATTGTGGTGTTGTGGATGCGATGGTGGTGTCCTGATCTCTGGTCTTGGTTTTGACTGTAAATTTTTTTTTTTTTTTGCGATTGGCTGATTTGTTTGAAGTGGTGGCGACGGCTACGATGTGACGGTGAGGTGGTGCCGGCTTGCAGGCAACTGAGGTTGTGTTTTTTTTTATGGTGGGGGTGAGGTGCAGGCGATGTTCTGGTGGTTGTAGTGGTGTGGTGTAGGCTGCAGTTGTTTAAATCTGTGGTGTGATTTGTGACCAAGATCGGTGGTGGGGTGTGTAGTGTATGTGACCACCTATTTGGACTAATGTGACCTTAAAATTCGATAATTTATGACTAAAATTAATTTGCTACCAATAAATTTGAAAATATGTGCCTGATGGATAACTGTGATATGCAATTTTTTAAATTTGTGACCAATAAAATAATCTGTAACCTATAAAATTATTAATTTGTGATCTCGAAATAATTCGTGACCTACAAAATTTTTTATTTGTGACCGATAAAAAATTGTGTCCTATAAAATTTTTGAACTGCGACCATAAAATAAGTTGTGACTTATAAAATTTGTGATTTGTGATCAAAGAAAAATATGTGACCTATCAATTGGTGATCGATGGACAAATTGTGACTTACAAAGTTTTTGAATTGTGATAGTAAAATAATTTGTGACATGAAAATTATATTTTGTGAACTATAAAATTTTAGATTTGTGACCTTGAAATAATCTGTGACGTACAAATTTTTTGATCTGTGATCGATAAATAAATTGTGATGTATAAAATTTTTGAATTGTAACCTTAAAATAATTTGTGATGTGAAAAAATTATGATTTGTGTCCCAAAAAAATATGTGACTAACAAAATTGCGAATCTGTGACCATATTTTATAAATCTGTGACTTATATAATTAATTAATTAAATCGGAGTTGTTGCCGGAGTTGGACCAATTTTCGGAATCGGAGTAGTTCTCGAAACAAAGTTGCGACGGAATGGTCACCGGAATAGTCGTCGAAATATTTCCCGGAATCGGAGCGGAAAAGACGTCGGAACTATTGCCGAAAAAGTCGTTGAAAAAGTCGCAGGAGAAGACTGGTGGCCGGAACGGTCGCCAGAGTAGTCACTGGAGCGGTAGCGGTGATGGAGGTAGATGGTTAATTATATTATAGTAGAATTAAATATTTAATAAATTTATTTAATAATCTATTATTTCATAAATAAAAATAAAAATAAAAAAAATCTGAGTTTTGAAATTTGTAATTTGTTTTCTTATTCTAGAAATGACACATACTTAACATCTTATAAATGAACTTTTCCCGATTTCAAATACATTTAAAAAAATTGTGAATTTTCTTTTTCAAAAATCAGATAATCACATTTTGTGACCTCTGATTCAATATTGTAACATATAATTTAATTAATCGACTCACGATCACGATCACAATCACAATCACACAAAATTTACCGTTTGAATCACAAATTAGTCGCAAATAACACAAAGTCATAATCATAAAGGCAAAATTTGGGGGTCCGAATTATAAATTTAGTTGCAAATCACACATTTCATTAAGTCAGAAATTATTCAATTAACTTGTCACAAAAACTCTTCAACTCACCTCACCCTCCATCACCACCTCCATAATCAAACCACCGTCACAACCATCACAAACAAAAAACCATTACCACCATCGTCAACCTCCAACCAAATTAAACTTCAACGATATACCGCCTTGGGAGTTTTGGACATTTTAAGATTAATGGAGTGATCTCGTCACCTGAATCATATCGAAAGTAGGCAGATTGGTTATTAGTCATCAATTTACTAGCTCAAAAAACAATGCCCTACAACCCAAATTTGTTGCTGTTTGTTGAAATTGATAGTTGGAGGTTGTAGGGAGGTGTTTTTATTTTCAGTTATGGGCGGATTTGGTGGTTTGGACGATGATTCCAATACACTGGGGCAGGGTGCTGATGGAAGGCGACTCCATGTCACCTTTAAGATAGAGAGAGAGAGAGAGTTGGAACACAATGGCATGAGGAATGGGATATGGCGATGGGATGGGGTTATACTAAATATACCTAATTTTTGATAGAAAATTATTATTATGGTTTGGGGTTTAGGGTTAGGGTTTGGGGTTAGGGTTTAGGGTTTAGGGTTCGGGGTTTCGGGTTCGGGGTTGAGGGTTGAGGGTTGAGGGTTTCGGGCTTGGGGCTTGGGGTTGGGGTTTGGGGTTGGGTTTGGGGTTTGGAGTTTAGGTTTTAGGGTTTAGGGTTTTTTTTTTAGTGGAAGGAGGGCGGTACCTTCGATATTTTATTAATATGCCCTCACTTGTGGTGGAGGAATACCGTGGTTACAACTAAAGTAAAGCGAAGCAATAAATGAGGAAGTACTAC